CATCCATTCAGTTGAAAATGCATGAGCGTAATTACCCCACCCACGATCTGGAGTTAGCTCATGTGGTTTTTACTCTTAAAATCTGGAGACACTATCTCTATGAGGAGAAGTGTTATATCTTTACTGACCATAAAAGTTTGAAGTATATGCTTACTCAAATGGAACTGAACTTGAGGCAGTGTCATTGGTTGAAACTTCTTAAGGACTAAGATTTTGAGATCAAGTATTACCCTGGTAAGGCTAACGTGGTAGCTGATGCCTTGAGTCATAAGACAGATTCTGATTTGAGAGCCTTGTTTGCCAAGTTGAGTTTATATGAAGATGGTAGTATGTTGATAGTGTTGCAAGTTAAACTGACCTTAGACCAGGAAATTAAGGCTAAACAGCTTCTAGACAACTCTTTGTTTCCATTGGTGAAGTAGTTTGAGCAAGGATCGAGCTCAGATTATAATTTTAATCAGGATGGTATTTTGTGTTTTCGTGGTGGTTAATGTGTTCCTAAGTATAGTGATTTAAGGTAGACTATTCTTTAGGAAGCCCTTAACAATCCTTATGCTATGCATATTGGTGGAGACAAGATGTATGAGAATCTCAAGGAACGTTACCATTGGGATGGTATAAAAAAGGATATTTCTGAGTTCGTGGTGAGTTTCTTGACTTGTCAGTAGGTCAAGGAAGAGCATCAACATTCGTCTAGTCTGTTCTAGCCCATCATGATTCTCGAGTGGAAATAGGAATGTATTACGATAGATATTGTGACTGGGTTGCCTTTGACTCCTTCGAAAAATGATTCTGTTTGGGAGGTCATCGATCGATTTTCTAAGTCAGCCTATTTTATTCTGGTACGAGTTAATTATACCCTGAGCAAGCTACCAAGGTTGTATATCTTCGAGATCATTAGACTTTATGGCATCCCATTGTCCATAATTTCTTACTGAGATCCAAGGTTCACTTCTAGGTTTTGGAAAGCACATCATGAGGCTTTAGGAATCTGTTTGAATTTCAATACAGCATTTCATGTAGTCGGATGGTCAATCTAAGAAAGTAATATAAGTTTTGGAGGATATGCTTCAGGGTTATGTGATCGACTTTAGTGGTAGTTGGAAAGACTTCATACCGTTAGTCGAGTTCGCATACAATAACATCTATCAGGCCATCATCCGTATGGCACCTTTTGAAGCTCTGTATGAACGTAAGTGTTGTACTCCTATCTATTGGACTGAGTTTCATGATAGAAGGGCATTGGGTCTATAATTAGTCCAGGAGATTAAGGATATTCTTAGGTTGATCCATGATCGATTGAAAGAGGCATTTGATAGGAAAAAGTCTTACGCTGATTAGAGGAGAAAGGATATTGAGTTTGAAGTTAGGGATTTTTGAAGGTCTCCGTGGAAGAAGGTTCTGATATTTGGACGCAAAGGTAAGTTGAGCCCAAGGTTTATTGGACCGTACAGTATTCTGAAGAGAGTCGAACCTGTGGCTTACCAGCTTGAGCTACCACTACAGCTCAGTCGTATTCATGATGTTTTTCATGTTTCTATGTTAAAATTGTACCGTCCGGACCCAAGTCACTTCGTTCAGGTAGAGAATGTGGCTTTGAGACCTGATATGTCTTATAATAATGAGCCCGTTTAGATTCTAGACCAAGATGAAAGAGTTCTTCGGAATAGGCGAATTTCGATGGTTAAGGTTCAGTGGAGCAATCATGAACCCATAGACTTCCTGGGAGACGTGAAGTCGGTGGAAGCTCAATTCCCGCATCTATTAGACAATGTAAATTTTGAGGATGAAATTTTTTTAAGGGGAGAGTTGTCACACCCCAAAGTAGTGCCTAAATATTTCGATCAAAACTAATTTTAATTTCAGTTACATTCGAGGAAGATTTTGAAGAAGCTTCAAAACGTTCTCCGCCTTTGCACTCTTTTTCTCTTCTAACTTTATTTGCCCTCTTTTTCTCTCTCCTCAAAATATCTTCCACCTCCATTTTGTCACCGCTCAGACCTCTGTTTACGACGACGCCAACGCAATTGTGTTTCTGAGTTAAGAGGAGTCGGCTGGTGTCCTTGGTTTTCCCATTGTCATCGGTGTGAAGGACGGTGAGGTTAGGAAGATTTCGAAGAAGCTTCAAAATGCTCTCCTCCTTGATCCATCGCCATTTAACACCAGTAAGTGTCACCCCATTGTGAACAATTAAATTCTGCATATTTTGGTGGTCGACCGACCGCCAGAAATAACCACATCTGTCACCGTCGTGCGTGGGCATGCTTTCGACTAGCCAAACGGTTTGAAACCTCTAACCCGACCCGAACCACGCCCTTGAGCCGCTAATTGCGTTGATTGATCTTTTATTTTCCCAGAACCACCTATTCAAACATTTTTCGACGTCTTAAGTTTGATTTTTTGGTTCGTTTCGCCAAATTCCAACCCGAAAGCCCTGAAATGAGCCTTTTTATCCAAAATTGTTTAGTATTTTTAGCTTTTTAGCTTATTTATTTAGGATTCAAATATGGTTGATCTGAACTTATATTTTCGTGAAGGTACTCGTGTTTCCCCTGATCCAGGGTCGACTAGATTCGGTGCGTCGCGTCCGACAGACCATTCTAGTACGCGTTCTTTGAGAGCTACCCGTAGGTTATGAAATTTGTTTAATTAGAGTCTTTTATTTTATCATGCTAGGATTTTGACTTACTTTCTGATTCGTATGATCTAGCCCTGCCCTCGCTCGTGATAGGCAGATCCTGCTAGTGGACTTTCGTACCCGACTACTCAGACCGATTCAGGTGTGTTCCTGTTGGTATTACACTTCTAGTTTAAACTATCTATTTGGCTGATTTAGAATTTCTGATGATACTAAATACTCCCTTTTATGACATCTGTCTTATTTTATTGTTCTGATTTTTGATATTTTTTTCTTTATATTCTGGTGTGATCTCTGGTTACTGCATTTATGTATCTGATTATGGAAAATTTCATGGTTTAATGTTTTACAAATTACATTTTGTTTTCACTATCATGGGAGTTGCTTGAAGGAAATTCTCAGACATAGTTTAGTCTACGAATACTATTACTTTTTGTTAGGCACCTATGCTTTATGCACAAGTGGTTCTTCTGTAGGCCTTATACTTTCAGTATAGGGCACTTCTGGGTGTACAAGTGGGTGTATGGTTCTGAAGAACCTACATAATTCGGTGTTCGGATGGGGGTAGTGTCCATACTTTAAAAACATGTTTTCTAAAATACATTTGAAATAAACTATATTACAATAATTATTTAGATTTCCCGTTGCAGCGTAAAAAGCAAACTGAGCTTTTTATCTCACACTGTAATTTTTTACCCTTTTCAGATATTTCCCCGACAATAGGCTAGCAGACTAGGCACCAGAAGGATCTATCGTTTTCCATTTTGAAATCGTGTATTGACCTTTTGCCCCTTTTTCATATATTTTGGTGGCATGTATGTTGCTACTATCTTTATATATTGTTTTACTGTTATTTTATATTTTCGACGATGGAAACTTTATCTGATTATTGTATGGATGTTTCGGTGATTGTTTTCTATCTAGTACCATATTATGGACTTGAAATTTCCTATGGCTTTTCTGGTGGTTATTCCGCACCACTCTGTAATCTATATTTTAATTTCTTAATTGTATTTTGAAAATGTTTTAAATATGGAAGGAATATGTGATCATCTAGACTTGGTCGAAACGTCTAGGCCGGGTCTAGGAGGTTACATATACTATTCCAGGTCTTTGTTCAACGTTCAATGGTTAAGAATTAAAAGTCAAGGTTAATCGTCAACGATCAACAACTCGAATTAATTCAGCTCAACTAGAATAATGTCAAATGGGTTAGATATTGGGTCGGGTCAAACCGTTCGGTTTGGACTTGGTTCGGTCCTAGATCAGTTTAGTTAGGTCAAATCATGCCTGGGATGAATCGATCTTGGGTTAGTTCATCAAGGCAGACAGTCTGGGCTAGCTCTGGACTTGGTTGAGAATTGACTCGATTCGCTTAGCGTTTGGGTCAATGGATATAAAACTGCTGCATCACTCTTCTCCTCCATTCACCATCCGGCCACAGTCCGGAACAGATGCCACTGTTTTCACAACCTGAACACACAGCTATAGAAGAAACACACCAACGAGAATACAAACATTGTCAACACAAATTAAATCAACAGACATCGAAACTTCAGGAGCTGATGCGTTGGATCCAACATGGATCATCTCATTCCAATTCTTTATTTTTCTTAAACATTTGTTAGCGTTGACTTTAGCTATTCCTATATCTTTTGACCCGCTTTATGCTTGCTTTGCAGGTTCACAATTTGTACAATCGTACTACATTTTAGATCCAAAGCTAGTCACGTCGTTATTCCCCTTCTTTTGTACTTTGTACTCACAATTCTTAGATCCAAATCACGAAATCTAGAAAGAAAAAAAAAGTTGATCACTTTACTTTTTTGCCAATAGAACAAGTTTTGAAGGTCCAGATTCAAACAAAAAGATAGTGGAATGCAGAGCAGTCTAAAATGGATTCCAGGCATGTTTCACCATTTTTATAGTCTCTTTATTCCCCAAGCTGATGCCAAAAATTTGTCTGCAACTGGAGTTTTGCAGCCATGCTGACCTTGGAAGTAAGTTAGGTCCATCGCATCAGCAGCATCTTGATCATTATTTAAATATTTTTTTTCTAGAGACCATCTTCAACTGTGAGCTTTAAGATAACAATTTTAATGTAAAATCATGATGTATGATTGATGCATTCCTGTTATTCCATGCTTAGTGTCCCAAATAAGGCTGCTCTTGATTTGTCGTTTCTGCATGCTTGTGTGTTATAGTTCTGGAAGAAACAGCAAATGAAACGAAGAATCAAGCACGACAGTGAATACCGTATTATTTCCATGTTTAATCATGTAGCTAAGCTAAAGGATATGCAAACAAGACAAACTTCAATTTGTTTACAATAAAGAAGAAAGGAAACTAGAAATTCAAACGATCATTTCTTGTCATCCTTCTTTTCGTCTTTCTTTTCATCTTTCTTGTCGTCCTTCTTTTCTTCTTTAGCAGGTCCCACGGTGACAATTTCCACTTTCCCTATTTTCTTGAGCTTTTTGGCAATGGCAACCGTGTCCATCTCTCCTATGACCGTCAGCTTCTGCTCCTTCACATCCACCGCTATCGAATCAACGCCTTATCATCAAAATCCCACGTTAGAAACTAGATGCTTCACTACAAAATTAGAAAAAAAAACGTCTGTTGATTGAGTATACATCACCTATATGTCGGCACAGCTTCTTCTAGCTTTCTTCTTTGTCTTTCATCATCATGGTCATGATTTTCGCTACCACCTTCTGCAATTCAAGATTAAAAGTTAAAATATAATATTTCTGTTGAGAAAATAAAGGAAATCAAAATCAAGTACCCGTGCGCCATTTGAGCAGACAAAACCAAGTTACAGATCAATGAAATCAGCCTTTAAAGAGAGGAAGGTTCGTCAAGGATGTTGCATATTTATATATACAACTGCTGTAACGATGGCTTGCATCAGCCACTATGAACAATGACTCGACCTTTTTATATTAGAAAAAAAGAATATTGATCCTATTCTTGCATGGAAAGCATAAACTTTTTCAAGCGCTTTCAGGATCAAAATGAAATTATAAATTTACAGAAATTATTTTATAATTTGACTATTTCTTGAGGGCCTAATAGATAATTTGTAATCCGACCGACACTCAATGGAGCCCTCTGACATACGAATCATAGAACAACATTGCACTACCAAGACAGCGAATATGTTGCTGTATTTTGCTGACTCTTTGGAGCCATGGGACAAATTGTACACTAATTTAATAAGTTTGGGAGTTTTCACAAGGAATGAAGGAAATGGATTAAGAAATTGTTATTGAATTAATCTGATTTAGAAATGAATATTTGGTGATAATTCTCTATTAAGAACAACTACGTGGTTGACACCCTGCAGAGATTTCCTTTTCTCGCCTTTTGTCTACCGGTTGCTGTCACCTACTCACCTTATTAAATTATGACATATTCAATCTTTGATAGGAGAGATATATTTATTTCGATTTGTTTAATTTAATAAAATTAGTTTCCTTCTATCATATGAGTAGATGTGTTATTGGTATAGTTACCCTTGAAACTATTCTGCAAATCGACTGCTTTCCAGATACCATGATCGGATGATAATTTTAGTGTTACAACCTAATGAAAATTTTAATTAAAAAATCTCCCAAATTATATTACAAACAAAGAACGGGAGAATGTTTAGGAAAAATTATAACTTTCTTTTAATAGTACGAGATAATTATAAGATGATATATATTTAGAATTTTATTAATCAATTAATAATATATCTTATTAATCTTATAAATCGTAATTGCTTAAATTTATATATTTTAAATAAAATAATTTTTTTTATAATTAAATTCACTCAATAAATTCAATTAAATGTTTTTCTCAAATGCTTTATGTTTTATTATTATCGAATTGAAGCTATTCGACAAAATACTTCTTCATTGAACAGCAAAGGTTAAATTTCACTATTATTATTTATATTATACATAAATTATAATTTTAGTCCATATATTTTGATGTGATCATATTTAATTATTGTACTTTCTATATTTTGAGATTTCAGTCCTGATCGAAATAATAACCATAAAATTTATTAATTAAACTCTACCCTTGTTCTCTGTATTATATATTGTTCTAGATTCAGTTTCTATTATCTAATTTGATAATTTTAAGTTATGAAATTTAATTATATTATCTGTATTATTTAAATTATGATTAAAATTTTAAAATTTAAAAGATATAATAACTTTTTTAATAGTAAAAAAATAATTAAATTTTATCAAATTAGAATTTCACAATAACAACTGGTAATTTTACTAACTCCAAAAATTATAGCCTGTGAAAATCTAATTAAAGGAATTTCTAAACTATCAAAAATATAGATGCGATTTTTTTTTTTTTTTTTGAAATGGGAAGATATGTCCCGTTTCATAATGAGCCCACAAAACTAATTTCTAATGTTTGTATAAATGACCACTTTTTATTTTTTTGAAGTATTTTAGTCCTCAATATTTTAATTTTTGTCAAAATAATCTATGTTGAATGAAAATTATTAGTTTATTAGCAGTCGACACATGTTGTTGACATGATATTTTTATATATTTAATTGGTGATATGGTATGTATACATCATCACTTTGGATGACACAATATATGTCGCATCATCACTTTAGTGACAAGTCATATGTCACAACATCAATTAAATATAGGTAGAAATATAATATCAATAATATACGTTAACTGTTAGTAGGGACGGAGCCAGAACCAGATCTTAATAGAGACCGAATCTTTTTAATAGCTTTAAGTTATATATATAATTTTATCTTTATTATTTATTTATTTAAAAAAATATAAATGATAACATCAAATATGCATAGTTCTATATTTATATGAAATAACAAATTAAAAATTAAATTAAAGTAAATAATAAAAAATACGATTTTAAAAAGCGCAAAAGACATAACTATCACATAATCACAATAAAACGCATTGTTCCTTCAAATCTCGAAATGCATCAACGAGCGATGTTGTACTAAAGCTCCTTGCAGTATCTCTTTCAATGTTGATAAGCATGCAAATCTCAAAAAATTCATCCTCTATTTTGTTGCGAAGTGTTGTCTTAATGATATTCATTATAGAAAAAGCTCTTTCAGCACTTATTGTATAAACTAGGGGAGTCAATAGAAATTTTACCGTTCGGAATATATATGGATAAGTGCTCACTTTCCTAGTATCCATCAATCACTTAATTAGGTCAGAGATTGTCAACAATTTTCTTAAACCTGAATTCCAAGATAAATCCACCTCATAATGACGCAATTATATTCGTAAATCATTCTTTTCAACTTCTGTGAAATCCTTCGGATAAAATTTATTCACAAGATTGCAAACGTCTTCAACCTTGAAATTTTGTCGCCATCTTTTGGCTCCAAAGCACAACCAAGAGTTAATAACTCTGTCGACTTCTCATTAAATCTATTGTTTAACTCTTGTAGTTGAACATCAACTGTAGCATAAAAAAATTCTACTTGATAATGATGTTCAACTATAAAATAATCTTCTTGACGACGAGCGCGGCCTCCTCTTTCTCTATAAATAGAACTCATATATAAGATATCTATATTGCGACTTTCACAAAATGAGGTAACCTCCATAAAAAGATTATTTCATCCATCATTTCTAAATATATGCAAAAGTATCTTTGAACTCTCAACAAGATGTAGTGAATTCAAAATATCTTAATATTTTCGTTGTAATTATCGAGAAAGTGAATCGGTGATTTCTAATATTTTCTTCATGAGATGTAAAATGAAGACAAAATCAAAAGAAGTCAAGGTCTCTAAAGTTGTAACCGCTTCTCCACATTCAGAATATGTTCTTCCTTCATCAATGAATTTATATAAAACAACACAAGTAGAACTAAACATTTTTATCAAGCTTAAAATTGATCTCAAGTAAGAACCCCATCGAGTATCACCTTCCCTCTGCAAATTACTTGTTTGATTCAAACCAGTTCCAGTTTCAAGTTGTTCTTCTTCAATCAAATGATTTATCTCGTTAGAATGAGAATTTTCTAGTTCATCGATGCGCTTATATGAGGCAAGAACAACATTGATAATAAAGGAAAACTTGGAAAAAAATTGATAAACAGGTATGACCTCTTTCCCTGCAGCTACTAGTGCCAATTGTAAATGATGGGCAAAACAATGCACATAGTAAGCAAAAGGACACTCATTGCTAACTAATGTCTGTAACCCATTCCACTTTCCTCGTATGTTACTTGCACCGTCATAACCTTAGCCTCGAATATTCTTTATGTTAAAGCAATAATGAGAAAGAACAAAAAATATCTCATCTTTTAAAGCCACTGTTGAAGTATTAGGAACATGAATAATGCTAAAAACATTCTTTTACTAGACCGAAATTATCAACATACCGTAAAATAATAGTCATTTGTTGTTTTCTTGATACATCCTCTACTTCATCAATAATAACACAAAATTTTTCTTCACCAATTTCTTCATGAATTGCTCTCTTAATTTTCTCTTCCAGAATATGTAAAATCTCCTTTTGTATCTCAGGCGAAGTGTAAGAAGAATTTTTTGGAGAATTTTCTAATACAACATTTTCAACATCTTTATTATAAGAGGCTAATTGTTTCAAGAGTTTAAGAAAATTTCCTCGGTTATATGAAGATTCACTCTCATCACGACCTCTCATTGGTAGCCATTGTAAAGCTAGCCAACACAATACATCTATAGAGGTTTCAAGTCTAAGCCTATTATTACCAATTTGAAATGATGTTTGATTACACTTGTGGCAGGTGTCAAAACTAGATAACAAAATCCTCCAATTTTTGCTCAGTAATTTTATGAGGTGAATTAGGTTCTGAACCTACATGCATCTTAAAATAACAACTTTTTCCATTTACTTTCTTCCGATTTCGAAACCCATTTGTTGAACCATGCTTTTATAATATTTTTGATATAACAAATTAAGGAAAAATGTTTTTGGACTTGATTGAATTTGTTCAAAATTTTCAAAAAAATTTCAAAAAATAATTTAAAGCCCATTAAACTAGAATTTGAGCGCAAAATTGTTTTATGTGTACGTAGTACCGATACTGTTCTTACAGTATCAATACTATATGAATAGTATAGATATTATTCATATGGTATTGATACCAAAGGTAAGAGAAGTTATGATACTCTCTAGGTAGTATTGATACTACCACTTGTTTTTCAAATAGCTTAAATTCCATAATGTAAAATAGTTATCGATACCCAAAGGGGTACTGTTACTACTTTACATAGTAGTATTGATACCATGATCATAGTATCGATACTGGTCAGGCCCAACGGCTAGTAACTGCTAGTTTATTTAAATATTATAAAATAAGTATCGATACTCATTAAAGGAAGTAATAGCTAGTTTATTTTATAGAAAATTATCCCCAACGGCTCCAAATTATCCAAAACGGCTAGAAACAACCACAAACACATTCCAACCTATAGAAACAAGTTGATGACACTTGAAGAAGGGTTAGAACACCTATACAAACAATTAAAGACAATATAAGAGTTTTTCATTCTTATTTTACTTTCTCTTGTAAATATTAGTGTTTTAGTGAGCTTAAATTTTTAAACACCTACCTTATGAGGTTTTCTTGTTTGCTCATCCTTTAACCTTTGTAAAAGGGGAGTGGTTATATCTTAGTCATTTAAAAGATAGAGATTTGTAAAGGTTATCTCTTTGTCCTTGAAAAAGAAAGAACAAATTAGTGAATTTGTTAGAAAATCCTTGGTGAAGGGTTAAGGTAGTGGATGTAGACTTTGGTTGAGAAGGTTAAACCACTATAAATCTTTGTGCATCCATTTTCTCATCCTTAAATATCCTTAATCCCTAAAAAAAAATTCAAATCCACTTCAATCTCTCTTGGCAAAATATTCAGTTGTTCATTAAGCTTCACCATAAATCCGAACAATTGGTATCAGAGCTTGATTCATTAGAATGTTTAGCAATCTTGAGACGATTCTTGAAGAAGTTATACCGATTCCCGACGTAACCGAGAAGATGGCTTTGACCTCCAGCTCTTACTACATTGAAGACTCTCAATTGGTCAACAAGCCACCTTATTTCAATATATCTAATTATGTCTATTGAAAGAATAGGATGATGTTATTCATTTAAACCAATGATCTAGGAGCTTGGAACTCAATCATTAAAGGATACTCCATTCCAACCAGTGAGATGGATGATTGGAGTGATGGAGAGAATAATAAGTTCCAACTCATTAATAAGGCTATACATATTATATTTTGTGCATTAGGCCCAGATGAATATGGAAGAGTCTCCTCTTGTTCTAATGCCAAGGACAAGCTTAAAGTCACTCATGAAGGAACCAATGAAGTGAAGGAAACCAAAATTAGTCTTCTCAACCATGGCAATGAGAATTTTAAGATGAAATCGGATGAAGACATCAAAACTATGATGGATATATTTTTCGTGGTTGTCAACAGTCTCAAGGGATTTGGAGAAGTGATCCCTAATAAAAAGCTTGTGAGAAAGATGAAATACTCTCTCCCAAAGTCTTGAAAATCGAAGAAAACGGTGATTATCAAAGCTAAGAACCTAAAGTCACTCACTTTTGATGAGCTTATTGGTTTTCTTCTCACTCATGAGTTGATGGTAAAGGAAGAAGAAGATGGAGAGAAGAAAAACAATAAGAAGAAGAAGGTAGGCATTGCCTTCAAATCCACCAATGAGAGCAATCAAGACTTAAGTGAAGAGATGGATGAAGATGATGATGATGAAGAATAAGAAGAAGAGATGGCCAAGCTTTTCAAAAGATTCATGACTTCTAAGGAAGTGAAGCATGAATTAAGGAAAAAGAAGGGTCCCCCGGTGTGCTTTGAATGTCAAAGAACGGAGCATGTCAAGTATGATTGTCCCCTCCTAAAGAAGAAGGGATTAACTAAGAAAAAGGCATTTGTGGTGGATTAGAGTGATGAAGACGACTCCAATGATGAAAATGAAGTAGACAACTTATGCCTTATGGCCATTGAAGAAGATTCAATGGTAACTTCTAGCTCTAGTGAATCAAAATCCTATTCTTTTAATGAGTTACAAGTTGCCTGTGATGAATTGTATTTGAAATTTGAGACCACGGATTTCAAATATAAGAAATTGATTTCAAAATTCAAAGATGAAAATGATTTTCTCTTGAAAACAAAATTAGATTTTGAAAAGCAAAATGAAATTTTAAAAATAATTTTAAGCTTTCAAAAACCAAAATTAAAGATTTGGAAAAAGAAAATCTTGATTTGAAAGTTAAGCTTGAATGCTTTACAAAAGAAAAAGGAACCATTTCGAAAAATAATTCATCTATGTTAAAAATAGCAAAATGCACACATTTACATTTTCATGGTCACTATGTACATACTTGTCCTATAAAGAAAACAAAATCTATTAAAATTATATTAGTATGGGTTCCAAAGGGAACTAGAAACATTGAAACTAATGTTCAAGGATCCAAAGTAATTTGGATACCAAAAATCCAAATGAATGTATCTTGTAGGTGTGTGGGAGCAATGGTGATGAAAGTGGAGATACTTAAATGCTCTAGCCACACTTGAAAAGGAATGGGTAGCTTCTAAGCTTATTTTAATTATCTTGCATAATTGGTTGCTCATTTGATTTAAGCATGCATGAGTTTTGATTTTAAATGATTTTATGTTTTCTATCTCATGTATGTTAAACATATGTTATGATGAACATTTTTAAAGTTTTAATGACTTTTCACAAATCTTCGGTCATTATAATGAATTTTGGTCAAAATTGATTTTAATGCTTTGTTTTTACAAATTTTAATTTTTGACCTTAATGTAAATGTTTATGCAAGTGATTTGTTGCAAATGATATCTCTCTAATAATTGATATTATTTTTTTAAATGCAAAACATTTTTGATAGCTTTATGCACATGCACTTAAATACAACTATTGGTATTGCATAAAGTTTATTAGACTTTGATATATTGAAATTCACGTGTTACTAACATGTTTGTTCATCTTTGTTGAAATTCAATTTCTTTTAAGTGTCAAGTTTTTAAAGTCAAATTTTTGTTTGGAATGCTTTTATTGAGGGGGAGCTTTGATTTCTCAAATGATTTTAATGTTAAAATTACTACTTACTCTCCATTATTATTTTTGAACTTTAAAGTTGAATTATTTTTTATATAACAAAAGGGGGAGTATTATGGGTTTGAAAAATTCAATTTCAAGAATGAAAAAGGATGAGTTTTAACATTTTCTAAAATATGTCTCTTTTTCATTAAATGTTTTATTAAGGGGAGTTTTGCCAAAAAAAAAACAATTTTTCAAATGTTTTGATATATCAAAAAAGGGGAGATTGTTGAACCATGTTTTTATAATATTTTGATATAACAAATTAAGGCAAAATATTTTTGGAATTGATTGAATTTGTTCAAAGTTTTCAAAAGTTTTCAAAAAATAATTCAAAGTCCATTAAACTAAAATTTGAGCACAAAACTATTTTATGTGTACATAGTACAGATATATTGTTCTAACAATATCAATACTATATGAACCATATCAATATTGTTCATATGGTACCGATACCAATAGTAATAGAAGTATCGATACTCTCTAGATAGTATCGATACTACCGGTTCTTTTTCAAATAGCTTAAATTCCATAATGTAAAATAGGTATCGATACCATGATCATAATATAGATACTACTTTACACAATAATATCGATACCATGATCATAATATCGATATTGGTAAGACCCAACGGCTAGTTTATTTAAATATTATAAAGGAAGTATCGATACTCATTAAAGGAGTAACGATACTCTCTGTTCTGGGCAGTTTTATTTTGCAAAAAAATTATCCCCGACGGATCCAAATCATCCCCAACAGATAGAAACAGCCACAAACACATTTCAACCTATAAAAACAAGTTAAGGACACTTGAAAAAGGGTTAGAAAACATTTCCAAGGAATCAAACACAAGAGAATAGTTTTTCATTCTTATTTTCCTTTCTCTTGTAAATATTAGTGTTTTAGTGAGCTTAATATTGTAAACACCTACCTTGTAAGGTTTTCTTGTTTACTCATCCTTCAACCTTTGTAAAAGGGGAGTGTTTCTATCTTAACCGTTAAAAAGATAAAGATTTGTAAAGGTTATCTCTTTATCCTTAAAAAAGAAAGAACAAATTAATGATTTTTTTAGAAAATCCTTGGTGAGGAGCTAAGTTAGTCGATGTAGACTTTGGTTGAGAAAGTTGAACCACTATAAATTTATGTACATCAATTTTCTCATCCTTAAATCTCCTCAATCCCTAATTTTTTTCTCAAATCCACTTCTACACCTCTTGGCAAATTATTTGATTGTTCATTGAGCTTCACCGTAAATTCCAACACCATTTATAGTGAAAGTCTTATGTGATGGATGACTATCTGGTTTGTTAAAAAGAAAGAAAATAAAACAGAACACAACATCATTTTCAGGTGAATATTCTAACCATGAATACAAGTTTTTGTACCAGGAAGCTTGAAATCAACGAGGGTGAGAAACATGTCCAGATTTTTTGAATTCAGAGAGTATTGGTTGATATGGACCCTCAGCAATATAAGCACTTCAAAATGCATTTGTTTCTTGTTTAGAAGGATATTACCATATTTGCTTGCGCTTACC